TCCATAATTCCATTCAAAGAGTTAATCTTTAATAGATGATAGATTCAGAGCCCACAATTTAAACAGTTTAAAGTATTTATTTGTTTATTTTTTACATAAGTTGGGCTTCCAACTCATGAAACCCACGAAAAGAGGATTTCAAAAAATTAGAATACTGTGGAGAAATCAGGCCTAATTTTGTAGGGCATGAATGTTTTAAACTGAGTGTGACACACTAATCATCTACTAAACTCAAAGCACCTGCACAGGTGCAGGTGTCATTAAATTGTTTCAGTTTGGTTCAGTTGTCTCAGTTCGATTCAACATGGGGAAGACTGCAGACATAACTGGCCAGAAGACCATCATTGATACCCTCCATAGGATGGGTAAGCCACAAAAGTTCATAGCTAAAGAGGCTGGCTGTGCAGAGTGCTGTGTCCAAGCATATCAATGGGAAGTCTAGTGGAAGGGCAAAATGTGGCAGGAGAAGATGCACCACAAAAGAGATGACCGTGGGCTTCAGTGGATTATCAGAGAAGATTCCAGAATCTGGCAGAGATCCAGAAAGAGTGGAATGAGGCGGGAGTCACAGCTTCAAAAACCACCACATTCAGATGCATCCGGGAGATGGGCTACAACTGTTGGGTTCCTCGGTCCTCTTTTCTGATGAAAGTTAAGTGTGCCTTTCATTTTGAAATCAAGGTCCAAGGGTTTGGAGGAAGAAGGGTGAGGAACAAAGCCCATACTGCTTGAGGTCCAGTGTGAAATATCCACAGTCAGTCATGATTTGGGGTGCAAAGTCCGGTGCAGGTGTTGGTAAATGCTGCTTTCTTAAATACAAGGTCACCGCAACAGTCTACGAGAATGTTTTAGAGGACTTCATGATTCCCTCTGCTGAGGATCTGTATGTAGATGCAGATTTCATCTTCCAGCAAGACCTGGCCCCTGCCCATGCTGCCAGAAGCACCAAAACCTGGTTTGATGCCAATGCCACAGTGCTTGACTGGCCAGCCAACTCACCATTGAGAATCTATGAGGTATTCTCAAGAGGAAAATGAGAGTCACCAGACCCAACAACAAATAAGAGATGACAGCAAGCATCAAGGAAATCTGGGCTTCCATAACTCCCAGTCAATGCTACAGGCTGATTGCCTCAATGCCACGTTGCATGGAGGCAGTAATTAAAACAAAGGGATTCCCAACCAAGTATTGAAGATTGACATATCATTTTGAAAGCACCATATTTTGATTGGTTTGTTGTGACCCTAATTCCTTTTTTTTTTTCAGCTAAAACTGAGTAGTGTGGACTGATGTCTTCACAGTATTCAATTTTTTTTGTTTTTTTTATTTATTTTTATCCTGTTTTTTGTGGGTTTCATGAGCTGGAAGCTCAAATTATGTAAAAATAAACAAATAAATACTTGAAATCATTTAAATTGTGGGCCCTGAATCTATCATCTATTAAAGATTAACCTTTTAAATGGAATTATGGAAGTTAAACAACTTTTCCATGGTATTCTAATTTTTGGAAAGGGTCTGTATGTAATCTTATGATGATGACCCTGTATGGATTAGAGGAAATTCACAATAAATTAAAATGGGTGCACCTTTTTTTTTTTGCATTTAAATATCGTGGTGCAGAGGTTAGAGAGGTGGGCTTGTGATCCGAAGATCGCCGGTTCACGCCCCGGCCCCGACAACATCAAAAGAAATTGTGGGTGGGGTAGGTGAAACACCCACACTTGCCCCCACCGTCAATCGCCCCACTCTGGGCCCATGAGCAAGGCCCTTAACCCCACCATGTGCTCCCTAAACAGGTCTCTCTTGAAAATGAGTTCTCGTGGCTCAATGAGACTAACCTGGATAAAGAAAGGCTAAATGAAAAAATCCCAAAGTATAATATTGTGTTCTCAGTATACCCTTAAAAAATAAACAAATCATTACAAGCTTACAATTCAGGTGACGTGATGGGCGTATACAAGCTTATGTCGCAACTGTGTTAAATATATTTTTATTGTTGTTATTAATCTTGTTAAATTGCAGCTTTTACAACTGGCACCCACCAAAAGAGTGGTTAAAAATTCCAAGTTCTCCCCCACACCCATAGCCGCTGTCTGCTTGTGATTTCTAAAGGTGAAATATTGTTCAGGTTAGTCCTACAGGTGATGTCAGGTCAGACATTTCACTGCTGTGCTGCAATCTGCAGTCCAAGTATAACTCCATTATTGAGGGGACTTTAAAATGGTAGCTGTGTGACACACAGCAGGATGATTTAGTTTAATGACCATGGCAGTGACAGCACTGTGATGGAAATTGGACTCCCCCTGCAAATTTACATCACTTGAGGGTACTTGGGGCTCTTTTAGCGGCTGCACTCAAGAGCACGAGCCATCAGGAGGTCCTGGATATGTCATGCTTGTCACCTTTCTTTAAGTGTATCTGCAGACGTGGGAGAGGGATTAATATTATATAGCCTACGGAAACACGGAGGCCGTGTTATCGGCACTGCAGATGTGATAAGCACCTCTACCCCTGTGAAAACCAGGAAAAATCTCAGCGCAAAAAAAAAGGACAAGCATCTCTTTGTGTTGCTCCCCTGCACTGCTTCAGTTTCAATGCAGCTTTAGTGGAGGATGTGGTGCAATTCCACATCTGTTGTAATTTGATGTGCCTGGATAACCCTCTGTGAAATCGTCTTGATCACAATGTGGCTTCTGTTTTCTTCCTTTCTTTTATTTTTCTTTTACAAAGTTGTCATATAGCTTTAGAAGGGATAATAATCTAATTTCATTTGAACGTGAGATATTCGCACAAGCAGAAGAATAAACAAAATATTTGAGAACTCGTGTTTTTTAAATAGATTTCAGACATTCACACTTTCCTTTAAAGATAAATCTATCTTTTCTACAGCAGCATTTTCCATCATTGCCACAACACTCATCCCACGTTAGTTCACTTCAATGCAGATGTCAACGTGCACAAATGGTGTTGCCCTCACACTGAATCTGAGCTGTGAATGGGAGTTATGGCAACTGTTGCTGTCACTTCAGTTTTATCAAGATAATATTAATGATAATAAAAACACCCAGTTGAAACACAAAAAACAGCTTGTGACAAGACAAACATGAAAGCCTGCGTACTGTAATCTGAATTTATTGAAGCCTGTTCAGTCAAAAAAACATACAGGATCTGCTGAGCTTTCAGCTGAACACAGAGCGCTAAAGCGTTAGTATCATTTATGAATCTGCAAATGTGACATATAATTTTTTTTTTTACTGCGTGTAAAGAAGCAAATTTGTACAGATAATTTCTCACAATTACAGTAGTTTTAATCACAGTCCACAATCTGTACATTTATTATCAGGCATAGCAGTGGCCAATATTTACCGTGAAGATCAGAACATGGATGCACATGGAAGAGAAGCCGAAAGATTAAAGTTAAACTTCAGTTCTTTTGAAGTGGGGTTCCTTAGAAATGTTCGAAATAATCATTTTCTTACTTGTTGTAGATAACTCTTTAAGAAACTTCAGTTTGGAGAAATGTTAATCAATCAGTAATAGTCATTTTTTTTTTAAATGGCAGAGTTAAAACAAAGTTGACCAAATAAAAACATAAAAAAGCCCAAAAATAAATAAACATGTAAGGGCCACACAAGATCAAAAATGAAATGCTGATCCACAGCTTTGGGGAGAGACAAGTCAAGCTCCCTCACTCATTAATTAAGAACATAGAACATCTAAAAGGAATCACTTGAGAGATCGAAGATCTCTCAAATTAAAATAAAGACACTTTATTTTAGGTAAATATTCAGGAGCGAGGCCATGCAAAGCTTTAAAAACAAAGACAACAACTGGAAATAAAATTTAAATTTAACAGGAAGTTACTGGACAGATGCTCGTACAGGATGGGTTCATGGTACCAGTTACTTGTTAGAGGTTCAGTTTATAGAATGAGAGCTAAGAACTAAGTGGAAATCTATTGTTTTAAAACAATTCCAAAATTGTTCTAAAAAATTCACAGCTGTTCATACAAACACACTTTTATTTTTAATAATTTTAAATTTATATTACACAGTTATTGCATTTTAAATAAAGTGATGGAATTGCTATGGCTGACACTGCAGTCACTATTTGTACTTGCAAGTGATCATGACTATCATCATCCTCATTTGGAAAAAGGTGGACTGCTCTCTGGGTTGGGAGTGAGGTGCTGCCTCAAGTGGAAAAGTTCATCTGAGGGTGTTGTTTACAAGTGAGGGGAAAATGAATCATGATTTTGACAGATGAATTGGTAGAGCTTCTGCATTATTGCAGACTCTGTGCCGGTCCGTTGTGGTGAAAACAGAGCTGAGTTTCTAGGTGAAGCTTTCTGTTTACAGTCTACGTTATCCGACCTTCACTTACGGTCACAAACTCTGGGTAGTGATCAAACTGATATCTCAGATACAGTCAAAATGCGTTATGTTCTTAGAGATAGTGTGAGAAGTTCAGTTATCTGGGGGAGATAGTAGAACTGTTACTCATTGAGAGGAGCCAGTTGAGGCCGTCCAGGCGTCTGGTAAGGATACTCCCTGTGCCTCTTTAGGGAGGTTTTACAGGCATGTCTGACTGGTAGGAGACCCCAGGGAAGATCCAGGACATGTCTCTTGACTGACCTGGGAATGTCTTGGAATTCTCCCAGAAGAACTGGAAGAGGTGGCTGTGGAAAGAGGTGTCTGGGCCTCCCTGCTCCCTGCTAGCAACCCAACTCCGGAACAAGTGGAAAATAATGGATGGATGGAACAATCATGGAAAATTACCATAGAGTTCATGAAAATGTAAAGGTCTATCAACAGGCATTCTTAAGAAACATTATTAAAGCAGTGATAATGGAGTCAGTCTATTTCTAGTTCAAAAAGTTATCTTCAACAAGTAATATATTAATTGTTTATGACCTTTTTGCAGAACCCAACTTTATAGTATTAATGATATTTAGGTGCAAGGAAAATAGGCATTTCTGTCTACATGAAGACTTTAGTGTGTTATACAACACCCAGTATTCGTGCCACCCACCAGCGGCAGGGCATAATAACTCGACAGGCTACCTGGCACCCTCTGTAGTTGTAAGGCCAAGGCCAGTAGCCACGTATAGGTTCGCACACTCGCTGACAGTGAGTGTAGCTGCGCTGGCATTCAGAGCAGCAGATTCCCTGGCGGTCCAACATGCCGTCAAAGGTCATGGCGCTCTCCTCTTGGGCCTCTCCGCCACGCTGCATGTAAAGAAAGCACATATTTTTCACAAGAGCAACAATTTTTCTCGTTCTGATCATTGTTTAAATCCATACCTATTTGCAATTCAAATGGCTTTAAATTCTTCCCATCTTCTCAAAGATGTGATTTGTTCGAGGCAACATGAATTTTTATGAGCGGTGGGAGTTTTCACGTCAGTTCATAAGTTCATCAAGTTGAAATGACAGCTTTTAATCGAGTGACCTATAATTAGAGCAGCCAGAATGACACCTTCACCGAAGCATGTGTGAACCACCCACAGCTGATCCAGGTTAACACAGTTCCAGTCTGTGCACTTTTAATCCCGTGAACATACATTTTTAACAAGGCACACATCTTCAGACTGCTGTGATGAAGTTATTTGTGGGTGTAATAAAAGCACAACCCTGATTCAAAAATATGGCTCTGAGGGTTGCTTCAGGAAACAGTATGTGATAGTTATTAAAAAATTCACCAACTCTGAATTCCCGTTCTTTAGAAAGAGGGTTGTTGATGAAGTTGCTACTCACATGGTAGGGGTTGTCAGGATTGTACGCTGACCCCGCGGCCGAGACTTCTTCTTCTCCATCCCCAACTCTGGATGCCTCCCGCTCTGCTCGACTCACCGGGTCTCTCTCCTCAGCATCCACCTTGATCTCTTCTGTGTCTAACTGCCGTTTGGCTTGCTGAGCGTCTCTCTTTCTCCTCGCCCCATCTGTTACGGCATCCACAGGAGGCGAGAGTACTGGGTCAACATTCACTAGATGCCATACATGTCCTCAGAGCTCAATCCTACATAGCTGGAGCTGTCTCGGATGTCTTGAATTATTTATTCTGCATCAGTGATATCAAGCAGTGTTGCATATTTCAAGTTTATTCTTTTTTCCATACAAGACTTCGTTAGTCCTTTTTCTCCCCCCTGCTGTTAAACTAAATTTAGTGTAAATTCAAAGTGGTTGAATGTTTTACCAACTTCTGAGGATGTAAATTTCACAAGTGTGTCAGCAGATAAGAAGCACAATCACAGTTATGAGTTTAATAAGTTGGGGAAAAAAGGGAAATAGTTCACTAAGAACAGACTGTGGTGAGTTTAGCTTTTGTGCTTTCTAAGATTAGAAAATTAAAGGCCTATCATTCCTTGAAGAACTGTATATTGTCCGCTGCTTTCATGACAGTTTTAAACTAACGTACTAAGATAAAGGCATATTTGTTTTCTCTCCGGAGTCCACTGGGACTTTTTCATCTGGATTTGGACTTGATCGGTACCCTAACCCGCCCATCCAAAGGTCCGGCTCCCTCCAAAAGCATTTTAGTTCTCAAGGGCTTCAGAAAGCCGACCAGAACCAGACCAAAACCGGCAGGATAGGTCTGCTCGACTAGAGCCGAGCCACTGTTTCTGCAGAGCTGGTGAGTAAAATTTAGTAGCTAAATATATGTATGTTGTTTAAATTCTGTATGCTTCAGAACGAGAATGTTTAGAACATTGCAAGAGTGTAGGAAGGGTTTAAAAAGCCTTTATATATATATATATATATATATATATATATAT